GAACTTATAAAAAATGTCTCAAATGAGAAAATCAAAGAAGCTTTCTTCACACAAGGGAATGACAAAGCCCCTGGCCCTGATGGGTACTCTCCTCTATTCTTCAAAAAGTCCTGGCCTATTATTGCTAAAGACACTATTGCTGCCATAAAACAGTTCTTCCAGGATTCTTTCTTGCTTCCTACTTTTAATGCCACTGTTATAGCATTGGTTCCTAAAATTCCAAATCCAAGTAAAGTCAAAGACTTCAGACCCATTTTATATTGCTTTGTGGTTTACAAAGCAATTTCTAAGATCCTGGTCAGCAGACTTTCCAGACTTATTCTTGACTTCATCACTCTCAACCAAACTACTTTTATCAAAGGCATAAATATTGTTGACAATACCCTTTTGGCTCAGAAACTTGTCAAAGGCTACATCATGAATTGTATCTCTCCTAGATGCTCTTTGAAAATAGACCTTCACAAAGCTTTTGACCCTCTAAATTAGGGTTTTATCATTGCTATTTTAAGAGCTCTAGGTCTTCCTCCTGTCTTCATTAACTGGATTGAAATTTGTTTTTTCAACTGCAAGCTACTCTATCTCTTTTAATGAGAGATTAATTGGTCATTTCAAATGTGTTAGAAGAGTTAGACAAGGAGACCCCTCTCTCCTTTTTTATTTGTTCTCTCTATGAATATTCTTTCAAGACTTCTTAACATGGCTGCTGCTAAAAGTGCTTTTGGATACCATCCAAAATGCAAAAGAATTGCTCTTACCCATCTCTCTTTTGTCGATGACCTTTTAATATTTTGCAAAGGGTTTATGGATTCTGTTATTGGTGTTACTATTGTCCTTGATCTTTTTTATGAAATGTATGGGTTAAGCTTAAATGCTTATACATGTGATATGTTTGCTACTGGAATCCCCTCTACTGATCTTGAGAAAATTAAACAGATCACTGGCTTTAAGCTTAGCAGACTCCCTGTCTACTACTTAGGTATTCCCTTGGACACTAGAAAGATATCTGAAAAAGACTGCTCTTCTCTCGTTGATAATATTAAAGCTAGATTATAATTCTGGTTTGGTAGATCACTCAGTTATGCTGGAAGATTGGAATTAATCCGAGCAGTGTTATTTAGCATAACAAACTATTGGTGCAGGCAATTAATCATTCCTTCCTCTATTATTAAAAAGATTGAACAACTTTGTTCAAGGTTCTTCTGGAAGGGGGCTAACAAATCAGTTGTTGGTGCAAGGGTGAATTGGCAGAAAATATGTCTTCCAAAATCTGAAGGGGGTCTTGGCCGTAAAGGCTTAAGATCATGGAACAAGGCATGTCTGATGCTTCTTATAAAACACATACTGGCAGGTGAAGGTTCTTTATGGGTGGTATGGCTTAGAAACTACATTTTCAATGTCCATGACTTATGGAATATTGAGATTAAGTCTTCCATGAGCTGGAACTTAAGATAAATATTGAAAATGAGACCAGAACCTAACTCTATTATACTGCCTTCTAAGACAAAAGTCAAAGAAATCTAGAATAATATCAGACTTAAGACTCCCAAAGTTCCATGGCATAAACTGCTATGGTTCCCTCTTCACGTCCCCAAACACAGCTTAATTACTTGGATGGTTTTCCTCAACAGACTTCCTACAAAAGAAAGGTTACAACATATGGGACTACTTAATGATTACCATTGTGTTTTTTGTGGTGCTGCCATAGAAACTATGAATCATCTCTTTTTCGAATGTCCTACAGTTGGTTCTTTATGGGCTGTTGTCTTCTCTTTAAATGGTTTACAAAACAATCTTTTATCATAGAATGATCTCCTGGCTTGGACTTCTGCTAAATGGAAGGGTAAATCCCTTCTCACTTACATTCTAAAGATTGCTTCCAATGCCCTTTTTTACACTCTATGGGAGGAAAGAAACAAAAGGATTTTTCAAGAACGTTCAAGGACCATTGAAGATCTGATTCATGCCATTAAGGAAACGATTGGTTTTCAATTAAGGGGTAGAAACCTTAATATATTAGATACTGTTAATGTTACTCTTTGTAACAATTGGGGTATTATTTGATTGTTGTTATTTTTTTGTTTGTTGCAATTTTTGTATTCTGAACATTGTTTTTTGTAGCAGTTCTTGTTATTTGGGTAATAATATGATTGAATTATCCAAAAAAAAAATGTTGTTTTCACTAAGGACAATAATTGCACGTTACATAAGAACGTTCGAATAGACAAATCCAACCTAGTTTTAAGCTTATGCCATAGGAGTTGTTGGATGGGGAATTGTTCTTAAGTTTGGAAGTGAATCCCCAGGGATCACATTTTCAACTCATAGAAACATTATAATTGCCATCTTTACTCTTGCTAATGTTCATGTATATTTCTTTGAATTTCTATAATAAAATGAGAAATTTCCTTAGATATATTGGTTGAATTTCTATAATAAAATGGGTTAAAATTTGAAGCTTTGAAGTTCATCAATGGTGTCAAAGTTTCAAGCATTGTGAGGGTTTTTTCTCTCAAAAACTGTTAGAGAAATAGATTAAGAAGAATCCGTTAACCTACCACGTTAGCAAAAACTAATGGGAGGTAACGACAGAGACGTTATTGAAAACGAATTAAAAATTCGATGATTTTATTGTAAGTTTTAAAAGTTGAATGACCAAAATTTGAGGATTTTTTTTGTATATTTTACCCTTTAAATAATTGTTATTTTTAATCCAACAATACACTTGAGGATCCTTTCAAACTTGATAACCTTCATATCTTTGGATATCAGGTTGTGGATCCTTTCTAGCTTAACCGCCAATATGTGTTCGAGGATCACAACTGGATGGTGTTATTCGAGTCTTATCTTTGAAATCTCTACAAAGTAAAGAATGATATAACTTTCGATTTACTGCTAGAATCAGCAGGCTCAGTACTTGAGAGAAGCAGGAAACCACAGAGTTAATTGCCAAATAATCCAAATATTATAAGAACATTTTTATAAATAATCATTTAAAGTAATATTATTTTAACAAGGGAATGACCTGGAAGCCATAAAGTCATTACCAAATCACTAGAACCCCTATTCATGAATGTTGTAGTATGTTAGCATGATGAGTCAGCAACAATGGTGCCCATGCTACTGCGTATGCATACTTAGCTTGCATGGTGTTGTTAGTAAAGTAGTTAGGAGCTTCTTGAAGTTGTTAGTAGCAGTTAGGGTTGTTAGTATCAGTTGTGAAGTCTGTTAGGCTTGTATTAGACATTAGAAGCTGTATATAAACAGTAGAAGTTTTGTATTCCATACATAGTCCTTTACACAATCAATATACAAGTGTTATACTTTCTTTACTGCATACTTCCTGCTTATCTCTTCTTCATGTTCACCTTGCCATTGATGACCCCTTTCTCACATGGTATCATTAGCCAAAGATTCTGAGTATGTACTGCTGTTACCTTCACAAAGAACTTCAAATTGATCCTCCTCTGGTCTCCGTCCAAGTTACAGGCATGGCTACGGCATCTTTGCTTCGTACATTTCGATGCTGCGACTCCGTCTCTGCACCTCTCTCTGCTTACAGATGCCTTACTAGCAATGGCAACAGCTTAGCCGGAATTAATTGGACAATTTTTTCAAGAGCTTTCAGTGAAAAACCTGCAGGCAATGATGTTATTGGTATTGATTTGGGGACAACCAACTCCCGTGTTACTGTCATGGAGGGAAAGAATCCCAAGGTTATTGAGAACTCGGAGGGTGCACGGACTACACCATCTGTTGTTGCCTTCAACCCAAAGGGATAGTTACTTGTGGGCACCCCTACAAAACGTCAGGCAGTTACCAATCCAACTAATACATTATTTGGGACCAAGCGTCTGATTGGTAGACAATATGATGATCCCCATACAACAAAAGAAATGGGGATGGTTCCTTTCAAGATTGTGAGGGCTCCCAATGGAGATGCCTGGGTCGAAGCGAACGGGCAGCAATATTCTCCTAGCCAAATTGGTGCATTTATTTTGACCAAGATGAAGAAACTGCCGAGGCTTACTGGGGAAAGAGCAATTCTAATGTTGTTATCACTGTTACAGCTTATTTCAATGATGCTCATAGATGTCAATTTTTTTAGATGTTGTTTTAGTTAGTATTTGATTGTTTTGGTTCACTATTGCTCGTGTTATTCGTTCGTATTGTGAATAAGAAGAACGAAAGAAAGCATTGGCACTTCCGATTCAAGTCGAACGGAAGGAAGCATCGACACTTCCGATTCAAGTCAAACGGAAGAATGTATCACACTTTCGTTTCAAGTATTCGTCTTTTCATCAAGAAGTGCATCAAGTGGCTGATGGTTTTACTAAATAAACCATTGGCTAAAGCAATATTTGAATTTTTGTTTTTCAAGTTCAAGGATGTTCAAGTTCAGAAGAGCAGAAGAAGAAGAAGAAGTAGAGGGAATGTTAGCATGATGAGTCAGCAACAATGGTGCCCATGCTACTGCGTATGCATACTTAGCTTGCATGGTGTTGTTAGTAAAGTAGTTAGGAGGTTCTTGAAGTTGTTAGTAGCAGTTAGGGTTGTTAGTATCAATTGTGAAGTCTGTTAGGCTTGTATTAGATATTAGAAGCTGTATATAAACATCAGAAGTTTTATATTCTATACATAGTCCTTTATATAATCAATATACAAGTATTATACTTTTTTTACTGCATACTTCCTCTCATCTCTTATTCATGCTCACCTTGCCATTGATGGCCCCTTTCTCACATAGTATAAGCCCCCACTATTACTTTATTGTTATTTGGTTAGACCGTATCTCGTCGTCGTCAACGTGGTTGATCAGTTTATTTGTTTTTTCTTTCCAAACCCCTTAGTTACTCCTTTAGACCAAAACCAAATCTTACGTCACGATTCTCTCCGCGCAGGGACCACCACCAACTTTCAAATCGATCTTATCCGTTGGATTAAAACTCCAATCTTGACTCAGACCCGGTTAGTCGGTCCTTCTTCAACCTTTAAACCCCCCCCCCCCCGTTTGCTTTCCCAACTCATTTTCTTCAAACATGGCGGTGGATCTGATAAAATTTCCAAAGATGGATGATCAGGTGGCTATACAAGAGGCTGCATCGCAAGGCTTGAAGGGTATGGAGCACTTGATCAGACTACTCTCCCATCGGTCAAACAACGTCGACTGCACGGACCTCGCCAATCTCACCGTCTCTAAGTTCAAAAGGGTCATCTCTCTTCTCAACAGAAGTGGTCACGCTAGGTTCAGACGCGGACCCATCCACTCCTCATCCTCTGCTTCTCTACCTCTTCCTATTCCTCAACAAAATCTGTCTCTTACTTCTGCTCCCATCTCCACACCTAGTTTTGTTCAATCTCAGCCACAGAGTTTGACTCTCAACTTTACGAAAGCTAATTTGTTTGGCTCCAGTGACAAAAACACTGAGCTGGAGTTTCCCAAAGAAAGCTTCAGTGTTTCGTCTAACTCTTCGTTTATGTCTTCTGCCATCACCGGAGAGGGTAGCGTCTCCAACGGGAAGCTAGGATCATCTCTATTCCTGGCGTCAGCGCCGACAGTTTCGGCGGGAAAACCGCCGCTATCATCTACGCCATTCAAGAAGAGGTGCCATGAACATGACCACTCTGATATCGCTTCTGGGTCCGGCAGCAGCAAGTGCCATTGCTCAAAACGACGGTACGCAAAATACTTTCTATTTTAACCCTTGTCGTATATAAACAGACACTTTAGCTTTTGACTTTATCGAATACTGTAAACAAAAGTTGAAAATCGAATTCGAGGGATTCAATTTAAAACGACCCAGTTTAGCTTCAATGAAATATCATCTAGATTGTGGCGAGTTAATGGGAACGTTTGGGGTTGTTGAACAGTTTTAGGCTCAATAAATGATAGCCTCAAATTTTAACACAAGGGTTTTTGGCTTATGTGGAGCTTTGACTTACCTCTTTGTTGAGTTATGTGGTCCCCCTTTAATGACAAAAGAAAGAATCGGGTCGCTGTACGCACAAGGTTGACGATAGTAGTGCTAGTGCATGACAGCGTCGACATTATTTATGATTTCAGGAGAAATAGGGTGAAGAAAGTGATAAGGGTGGCTGCGATCAGTTCAAAGATGGCGGATATTCCAGCAGACGATTATTCATGGAGGAAGTACGGGCAAAAGCCTATTAAAGGGTCCCCATATCCACGGTAACAAGTGTTTTCCTGGTGGAATCTCCAAGCTCTGATCAAACGGTTGTTAATATGTGTTTTGACTTTCTTTTACAGAGGATATTACAAGTGTAGCAGCATTAGAGGGTGTCCGGCGAGGAAACACGTGGAGCGAGATCCGGATGATCCCTCTATGTTGATTGTAAGTTACGAAGGGGAGCACCGTCACTCTCAACCTGCAACACTGCAGAATCTGGCTCCTGCCGTTGGACTCCACTGGTCCTCTACTCAACCTGATAATAAACAATTACTATTAATTTAAATTAAATTTATATATAAAAAAGACAAAAGTGTAGTAGTGTTTTCTATTACTTGGGATTAGTTGAGGGACTTATGTAAATGAGCCTTTTTTATTATTAATTTCAGTTCCAATTGAAAATGTAGACCGACTAAATCTCGAGACTCTGCTTTCGTATTTTTTATGAGGCAATGAATGAGAAAAATAAGCACAATTTCTCTCTAGTGGAAACCACGTCTCGACAGAATGGCAAGATTCCTCATATTTTATGCGCTCTTTAAAAAAACAAAAGTTAATAAAGATGACGTTACAAATATAATAATAGTTTGGTGAAGTAGAAAGAAGATAAATGAGGGGTTTTACTAAATGAATCCAGGTTTAATTCAAATCAATTTGTCTGATGTAAATTGAAATGATCAATCATAAAATGTTGGTTTTCTGGGTCCGCTCGAGTTCCTAGTAGCTAAAGTTTGGATTAAGTTTTGTTTGTTTGTTTGAGGACTGAGATGGACCCATTGTATTGCAAGTGGTGATGATTAGTTGCTTCTAAAACAAAACAAGTCCGTGGAACTTAGCTTAAAGAGTAGAGGTGATGAATGGCATTCTTACTTGCAGCTTCTTCTTTTTCTTTTTTTTTGTGGTGGGGGGGGGGGGTGAACTCATTAACCGAGCTGTAGGCCCTAGGGGAGCAGTGCTTCCTAGTACCGGATCCCTCGAGGAGGCCTTAAGGTCTCTAGTTGAGTATTTGGAGGACAAGTGTACATGAAGAAGTCGGTGAGGGGGCATAAGGATGGGGAAACAAAGCATCTTGATGTTGACCTTTTAGATGCTGCTGCTGCTGCATTAGATAAACTGGAAATTGACAGATGATCGTAACTTCATCAAATGCTTTTCTTTGTAATTCAGATATCATCTATTCTGGAAATGTAAAATTTGATTTGATTTGTTCAGGTGGCATACTCTATGTACCACATTCTTTGCCATCTCCAATCCTCTTTACTTGTGTTTGTCAAACGGAATTTGGAAGCAATACTTGGCATGCTGATTGACAAGTGCATTACTATCAATGTGGAAGTTGGTAGTTTGAGCATTTGTTCAAACTCCGTAATGATGATTGGTTGTTTGGAGAAAAATAGTTGTGCAAGCCTTATAAGGATGGGTGTTCCAAAGTTGAAACCGTTACTGCTGATTATTAGCCAATCCTGACATTCACCGAAGTCGGATTCATAATTAAGGCAGTTGATTTGGAAACTTGGATGAACAACCAATGGCATCTAATCATCTATACAAACACTTGAGCAGCCGCTCCTCATTGGGGAGTGGTGAAAACAAGGTAGCTATATTAAAATGCATTCTGTTTCTATCATTCACATGCTGCAAGGGTCTATTATATGCTCCGCATCTACTCTGAAAGCCATCTTTGTTGTTCGTATGCTGCTGGCATTCCGTTGGGGGATGAAAAGTTTGTGTTTTTACTCGGCATGTCATTTTTCTGCTATTACAGAACAAATGTCTGTACCAGAGATTGGTGACATGCACCGAATAATTAAGGTAGTCATCACCATGCAGACGTAGATGTAGTCTTCTTCTGGAAGCAGTCAATGTGAATAAACCATGAAAATTAAGATGCAAAATCTGGGATGATATTAGGTCATCAATATCCGGTTTCGTTTTTGACCACGTTTCATAGGCTTGGGTTTGGTCTTTGACGTTGAGTGTGGGGGACACAAAACACTTCATTCCAAACAATTATGTGCTTTACCAATTGGAAGCAAATTTCGATTCATCAATCCCAAGCAATAATTACATGGATACTTTGACATTTGTTATATCTCAACTTTCAATGCCTTGAGGTTGAAGTTACCACGCCCCCTAACTTGGACTTAATTGCATACCATTCCTCCTTGTTTTCCATAATATATATATATATATATTTGGTAATGGTAGTTGGATTTCAATATCCAATTTTATTTTAGGTTTAATTACATTGTATGTCCCCAAATTATAACCTTCCTTATAAATTGGTCCTTAAACTTTTGGATATTCCAATTACATCCCTAAATTATGACTCTTCATTCTAAATTAGTCCTTAACCTTTTGAAGATTCTAACTTTATCCCTAAACTATAACCCTCTTTCTAAATTGGTCCCTAAACTTTTGAATATTCCAACTTCATCCCCAAATCCATTTAAATATGTAATCAGTTTAACCAAATTTTGTTTGTTTTTTGTTCAAACATATAATACTATAAGTTGGCCTGATGATTTTATTAACAAGGAATGTGATTAGTATATATGTATAGTTTGGGATGAAATTGGAATATTCAAAAAGTTTGGGGACCAATTTAGAATGAATGTCATAGCTTGGGATAAAATCGAGATGAGGACTAGTCTAGAATGGTAGTCATGGATTAGGGATGGAATTGAAACATTTAAAAGTTTAGGGGCCAATTTACAAAGAGGATCATAGTTTAAGGACATATAATGCTTTCTTTTAATCTTATTTTAAAAACATAATACATCATTTTACCAAATTAACTGATTATTAGTTATTTTTATTATACAATATAATAATTAATTAAAGTTACAAGTGTGCTTATAACATTGAAAAAAGTAAATTATGATGGAGATAAGATCAAATTGATGACAAGAGTTGTAATTAAATCTGAAACAGAGATCATTGCAGAAATGCATGGATGGGGGTGGCCCCATTTTACGATTAAATAATGCGATCCGAAAAAACGGATACACCAGCTCTTATCTTAGATGCTTAGTTTTACTAATAATAATATTTTAAATCTAAAGAGATAAGATAGGCTCATGGTCCTTTTTTTAAAAACCTTTGTCAAATTGATCTCCCACCCTCTTCCCAAATTGATTTTAAACCTTTGGGGTGAATAATCTGGATTTCATTGCCTTGAACCTCACGTAATAAATCCTATCCATTCCCATGACCATTTAACTTAAAACTATTGTAAAAATTAATTTCTTATCTAGAAAAACGGAATATTACTGTGGCAAGGTAATCAAACTGTTTAGAATTTTACAGCTAAGAAATTATTTTAATTTGAAAGAATACAGGTAGGGTGATAAGTATATTGGGGTTTGTACCAACTACAATATTAAATTCTGCATATGTATCCGTAAATGAAAATGAATATAAAATGGAACCAATTTTGCTAATCTGCATCTCCCCCTATTCTAACCCACTATGAATATCCTATTTATCTCTTCATATTTTTAAATAAACGATTCAATACAAAATTAATAATTAAACAATTCTTTTATATCTAATCTTTTTGTTTCGCATGTAAAAATTTAATTAAATTAAAACCGTGGTTTGGGATATTTCCCGTCTTCGTGGTTGCCGCCTATTTTTTTTCCATCTCATGTTTATATCCTACGGTTAACTACATGAAAAATAATACGTTTATATTTTGTCCACTTACTTTTAAAAAAATATAAGATACGGTCATTTTTCGTTTTTATTTAATTAAGATGTGGTCATTCGAGTTAATATTTGGTAACAGTAGTTAAATATTTTGATATAATCACATATTTGATCCATGTTATTTATATATTCTTTCAATTTAGTCCTACTTTTAATAAATTAAAATAAATTTAATCCTCCAATCGAATGGCGCCACATGTCATGCCACGTAAGGGTGAACGTTTGATCGAGCCGGGTTGAGTAAAAATGTGAGTTATTCGAGTTGACGACTCATATTTTACAACTCGAAGTTGACTTGAATTTTTTTTAAAGTCGAGTCGAGTCAAATTTTTGAGTTTCTGTTTAAATTTAATTATAAATATTTATAATATTATGATATTATTTGATTCCAAATTAAATGATCTTTTATAACCATATACAATAGATGTGTATTCTTCATATTTTTTTTCATGTGATGCTCAACTCAAACTTGAAAATCAATCTACTAATTACTAAAATTTTCAAATTATTCGAGTTGTGTTTTACAACTCGTTTTGAACTTGAAATTTTTTCGAGTCGAGTCGAGTTTATATAATAACAAATCAAAGTTAATTAGAGTCAAGTTTTCAAGAGTTGAGTCGAAAAAATTAGTTTTTCGAGTCGAGTTGAATTTTGCTCACCTCTAATGTCATGTGTCACTGTTCGGTTAGAGGATTAACTTTATTTTAATTTAATATATTCATTTTCACCAATCAAAGAGTTACATGTGTCACCCTTTGGTTGAATGAAAACAAAAGAAATCAATTTGGGAGAATATTTTATTTAAAAATATATATTTTATGTTAAAATTTATTTAAAAATATGACTAAATTGAGAGAATATGTAAATAATACGAATCAAATGTGTGATTATACCAACTATCATGTCATATATATTGTTAATTATTAATCACATTTAACTCGTGATAACCACGTCTTAATTAAATAAAAAAAATTATTATATCTTATATTTTTTGATTAGACAAAACATGAACGTGAACGATTTTTCATGTAGTTAACTCTATATTCTATTAAGAGTCATTTCCTTATCGTTCACGGGAGTAAATTTAAAAGCATTATATCTTCATCAATAATGGCTTTATTTATACTTAATAAATAAATCAACACATTAAGCAAAAATTCCAACGGAACTCATATTACATACATTCTTAAGCTCTTCATGTAACATCCTTAATATAGGGTTAATGACTAAATTGTAAAGTTTCATAATTTGGCGAGTACAGTAGAAAAGTTGAATAGTTCAATGACTTATTTGAAAATATTTGATGAAGGGTTGTTAGTAATTATTAAAGGAATTAAAGGGTAAAATAGTCATTTAACATGAAAGATATTTTTCCCCTTTAATAGGAGATAAACACTTAAGGGGGGGAGTGAGATGAAAAACTCTCTTCTTCTTCTTCTTGCTTTCTTCTTCTCCATCGTGAACCAATGGAGCAAATGTGAGTTTTCTGATTACTTGATTGTTTGTTGATTTTAAGTATGAGTTTTGATCCTTAGGTGATACTTAAGCTTAAGGAAAGCTTAAGTTGTCTTGAAATCAAAAGATGAAGAAGTTATGAAATATTAAAGAGAATGGGGTTTTAAGTGAATTTCTGAAAAAGAGTTGATAAGTTGAATTTAAAACTAAATTTGACTTGTCATCAACTTAATTCAGAGATATGAAGTGATAGAATTGGATTTAGAACATCT